ATTTAGCCTCAAGGATTTTCATAGACTCGTCATAGACTTAAATGGAAGTCTCGAGAATTTTCTAATCGTACAAAAAAAGGGGTGATCTGCAACGTCCATAATAATTGTACTGTTTCTTCGTGCAATGTAGGACAAAGCTTTTCCAAATATAATAAAAATCTATTAAATATGTTATACTTTAATATCAAAAATCAAAGGAACTATCACAATAAAATACAATAAAAAAGGCATTTGTTTTCTTTTAATAAAAAAACTGCAGAATAAATATATTTTTAATATAAATGGCGCAGAATCTTTAAATCTTTAATTATTTATTACAGAAAATGCGCAGAAAATGCAAAATCATTATGCACGGAGATTTGAATTTGTCACGGACGGAATTGGCTACTTATTGCCGCAGAAAATCATCGTTCCTGACCAGGGTAGTTCTATTAAAGCATATTATCACGTGAAAGCATTACATGTGTGATACCACAGATTTATATGTAAATATGAATTAAACTCCATCATGTACGCGAAGAAATTAGTGCTTCACAAACTGCAAGAAATGATCAACGGTTAAAAATGGAGGAAGATAAATTTAACGCAAGAGATTCTCAACTTACATTAACTCCTTCAGCAGCTGCCCAGCCAACTGCCCAGGATGTTGTCATGGAAGAAGCTAATAGTGAAAAAGATAACAAGGTGATAACAGACTCTGCAGTTGCTGTGAATGAAGTGAATGATCAAAGGATCGTTGAAGAATTTCAGTACCTACTGGAGAAGAGTCAACAGCTATTCGCAGGCTTGAGGTAAGAAAGGCCTTGAAAAAGAAACTTTTTTATTATATTTTGAATGAAATTTCAAGATATATACAGGGATCTTCCACCAACTGGTGGTCGCCAGTGGCAACCTTATTTCCAACGGACTTTTGAAGTTTATACAAAGGTAAATGAGTCGATTGAATTTATGTTTCCATTTTATTTTATTTTATTCTTTTATTTTAATTTATTTTTATTTTCTACAACGAAACGCGTATTTACGGATATCCAGTTATGGAAGTTCCAGCAACAGAATAGGTGACAATTTATTATTTCTTCAATAAAGGCTATTCTCAATCTTGAAAAATCTATTTAACGCGTTTAATCTTAGATTTGTGCTAGAAAATAAAAATAATTATGGTCTTAAACGATGGGAGGTTGGTGAAATTGCGTCAAAGATTGGACAACTTTATTACCATTACTAGTACGTTTTTACGTTCAATCTTTATTTAAATTATATTAATAAAACTTAACACGACATTTCTATGTGAACTAAAGTTTACGTACGAGTGAAACGAATTATCTTCACGAATCATATATATTCTATGAAGCTATTCGTGATCGTTCCTATTTCAGAGATGTTCTTGACGTTAAAAAGTTTGTTGAAAATCTACAATAACGTTATGTTGTTTATTTAAACATTGTTTAATGGTATCTCACCATTCGTTTATTTTATTTTATTTTGTAGCCCTGCACTAATGATCAAAAAATTAAGATATTACGCCCGATTTATCGTTGTGTGCCTGCTGTTAAACAAGAGGGATATCGTGCAAAAGTTGTTAGATGAATTAAGTGGCCTTGTTGATGACTATATAAAAATCTTTAAACCAATTGATTCAGCGGAATGGAATCAAGTTCTTACAGAAATTGACGCGTTTTTGGAGGTATTGAATTATAAACTCCTTGAATAAAATTAAATAACACTGTTATTCATGTCAAATTGGCTACTTAGGCTGAAAAGAAGCTTACACCCCTTTCTCCTGAAGGCCATTTCTTACCCATCGCGCGTCGTCTTCAAATAGAAAGAAGTCCTAGGCTTGAAAAAGATGGGACACCTAGATTAAAACTTCAAGAAGCAATTTTAGTGGGAAACTATCAGAATCAAACAAAGTTCTCAGAACTCACTCTTGACATGTATCATATATTGCAATCTCTTGGTATTAGATCATTATTGTTTTAAATGTTTCTGGTTGCTTGATAATAAATGTTAAACATGTGATATATTATTATTTAGAACGCGAACCAGCTCCTCCGAAGGGTGCGCCGCCCAAAACACCAGGTGTTGAAAATTCTGTGGGTAATGAAAGGGTATTGAGCAAAGATGATACGTCGACTGATGAACAATCAAATATAAATACACCAGCGGATAAATCAGCATCACGAAGAATGAACCCTCATAAATATTTGTTGCATAAACCGACTTTCAGTCAACTAATGGTTTATATCTCCACAGCATTCAAGGTGATATTTTTATTTAAGACGCACTACACTTCTTACATTATTTGTTACTTATCATAGCTAATACTATGCAGGAAATTAATGAGAATTCCGCCTTACTATTATATCTTTCGGCAGACGGTACTAAACACGCCAGTGTTAATGGTGAACATAATTTATCCAATGGTTAGAGAAATAAAGTAATTCTTATGCTTAGGTGATTTTTTTGTCACTACGCATTAAGAAGTTGAATCATTTGTTAAATGCAGGATATATGGGTGGTGTTGCAACAAATTCTCGCAAACCTGCTGACAAAGCCGACGGATCTGATAGTGGATTAATTAATTGTTTACATCCAAATGATTTAGTACCATTTACTCGAAAACCATTGTGTATTATAGTTGATAGTAATAATAGCACGGCTTTTGCGGTATGATTTATCTCTTATTTCCACCTTGTCAACTTTGCGCGTTTATTGTGAGTATTAACAACCTTTTTGATTTTTGTTAATGGTTATAAGAATTTTCCTAAGGTCTTCAACCAACCATTTCTTTGTCTCATGTCTCCTGTTGAATATCCGTCATCCATTCCTGGTACAATGTCGATAAAGATTTACTATCGAATAGATAAAATCGGTTGTCTTTATTAATTTAATTTATATATTTTTCTAATAATTAGATACTCCGAAGATAGGCAGTCTTTTCACACTATTCCTTCACGCACCTCTTCTTGGGTTTTCGTTTATCTCTAATATCGAAAGTATAGACTCTGAAAATTGGGAAAGATGTGTGAATCTTATAGCTGAGACAGAAACTATCATCATTGAATTGTTAAATCTCTCAAACTTGGGTACAATACAGTTTTTACTTTATTATTTGTTTATCTATATTTGCTAACGTTTCGCATTCATTGACCTACAGAAAAATCGTTGAAACGATTTTTACAAGATGATTTCCTTCGCCAATTTCTGGTACGATTCGTTTTATGCAGTGCACTTTTGAAAGCACATAACAGTTTTCAAAATGAAAAGGTAGATTTATTTAGAATTTGCAAGATAGAACTAAAATTCTGAAACTTATATACTAAAGTACTTTTGTCGTTTAGCATTTCCCATCTTCATGTCCACCATTACCTTATACTTTATTTGATTCACCTAATTTACTAGCTAAACTGAGTCAAATTACAAAAGAAGCCCAGGTTGAATCATTATATTCATTCCCTACATTGGTGGTTGAAGTAAATGAGGGAGATTTGTCCCCTGATGACAATAATATTTAATGACCGTCTGCTTTACACAATTCATGTGTAATAAACCCGTTATAAAAGTTGAATTTCAATAAATTCAACGATTTCCTGTGAACAAATGAACTTTATCTTGTCATCATTTGTTGATAAATACTACATAAACAAGTGTAGGCAATGAATAATAAAATACATTATATTGGGCCTCTTATCAAAATGTATTCAAATATAGTTAAACCTTTTTATGATCACTCTCTTTGTAAGTGCATTATATAAAATTCTTTTTATGGCATATTTATTTTGAATTACTATAAACATATAAAAGATTTTTATATAAGCAAATTGTTGAAAAAAGTTATAGTTTCAATAGTGTGATTATAGAGAGGTTTGACTATATTTGTTCAATCTTTTTAATGTTTGAATATTTGTCAAAAATTTTAAATATTCAAATATTGTAATTTATTTGTACTTATAATAAAATTTATTAGCATATTTTTAAATAAAAATATTAAACAATATGTATGTGATGATAATAAGTTATTGTGATTTAATACTGTATTTACAATACAGTCTAACCTTGATATAGTCACAAATTATAAAAAAATTACGTTCTCTGATTATAAAACATATGAAAATTAACCTTCATATAGACACTATAACTTAGTCATATTGAATTTTGGTTACCAACCCCGTGATCATATTGAGGTTAGACTGTACTTATATTTGTAAACTAAAATATTATTTCTTAAGTTGTATTTTAAGCAGATGTTATCTAGAAATTAAAAAGTATTTATAGTTTGTTAAAAAATATTATCAAGAGTGTGGTAATCTAATGTAGTAGCTTGATTGTTATGTATCAAGTAGCAAAGCCTAGAATTTAAACTTCACTAATAAACAAAATTAATTTTTTGTTTCTCATAACATTAAATTTTAAAAATGACCCGGCCGGCCGGCTTTTTCTTTTAAATTTTATATATAAAATTTTATAAAATTTTTAAAATATTTTTTTTGAAACCCCACCAAACTATTAAAACATATAAAAAATTTTTCTTCAAAAGTTTTCAAATTTGACCCGGCCGGTTTATGAGAAACAATTAATTAAATTTGTATAGCCTAATATAACTGGTCATAATAATCTTTGTGGCGGATCATAATGAAATCCAGATCAAAATGAAATTATAATATAAAATCTCAAAAAATAAAATTTTTTGGGATGCATTTTTTCAGGGATAGGGGTTAGAGTTAGTGTTAGTTTTAAAGTAAAGTTATAATAAACAAGTATAAGTGGATTTTAGAATGTTAACAGGTTTTGTAAAAAATGTAGATTTCATTTTAAATTATAATTCGTGACAATACTTAATTAAGGGGATCCTTAAAGCCCAGTTGAAAAAGGTTGAAAAAGTTATGTTTTTGATGTATTTAGAGTTACCTTTTTGATATTGTTAGAATTAGTAAATTATTTAGATATCAAGAATACAATTTATGCAGTATGTAGATCAATATGAAATCTGTCATGCTTTAGAGAACCTCTTAATTAAGACTTACATCAAGCTTTACGAATATCTTTTTAATTGATTATTTATAGTTATATAGTAATATTTAACTTTGAATATCTTATTAATAGTGATTTTAATAATAAGAATATTATTTATCGCAGATTAAAATGAAATCTGATCAAAATGAAACTGGTAATCATTCATGCCCACCCTTAAAGCTTATAAAATCTACATATACTCATTTATTAATAAACCTAACCTTAAACCTTACCCTTAATACTAAAAAGAACCCCAAAAAATGTCTTCCAAAAATTTTTATTTTAATCTGTAACATTATTTATGTTTATCTGATTTTGATTATTTCAGTTGTATATACTGCTTAAACTAACAATTTTTTTTTTTTTTAACCTTTATAATGTTACGAAAAGGTGAATTTTTATTAGATATTTTAGTAGTATATTTTTAGTTAATAAGAGTATATTTAGCCATACATATAACTTTTGGTTGTCTATTTAAGTAGTCTACCTAAAGTTTTATACTATATACTATACTTGTAACCTAATTAGAAGATTATCTATTTAAACTTTCTGATGTTTCCTATTCTGCATCAGCATTACAATTACATTAGCCTATAACCTCATGCTGCTTTAATTGAAGACCATTCAGATCAACATATACTATACTTTTGTGCTTTAATTCTATAAATAACCTAGTAGGGTTCTTATACTACTGGGTTGCCTTAGAGAAGATGTAGTACATACCCCTCTAATCTTTTTATAGCTTAAACATTTTCAAACTAGGCTTTAAATATCTTCTGCAGCAGCTAAAACCACTACTAACAGTCAGAGCTAACCATTAAACCACACAATTTCAGTATTCAGTATCATTACAAGGTTTATTCTGATTCTAATACTTGCATCAAATTGATCATTATACTGATTCTTCCCAAATTACCAAATCAATTAACTTAAACGGATCATTGTATCTAAGCTTTAAATATCTTCTGGTTTTCCTTTTCTTGATTCCTAATTCTATAACATAGAACCTTTTTTTCTGGTACAACTCTGGTGGCTAGGTTGGTGGTCCCTTTTTGTCCCAGAGTTTTCATCTGATTCTTTGATTTTTGGTTTCTGGCTTTTTGCAATATTATCAAAGATCTTCACTACCTCCTTACTCAGGTCTTACTAAATGGGTTTCAATTATTCTGGTTTCTTGGATTTAGATCACCCAAGAGCTTCTATTTCAAGATGGTAGTACATACCAAGATTACAGGTTATATACCCAACCAATTGTCAAATAATTGTTACCAGTATACAGGCCTATTTTTCTAAAAATGTCTCTGGTGGGATTCAAACTCTAAACCTACCACTTGGGGTAACAACTTAACCACTACTCTAAGTCACCACACCCCTTAACTAACAACTTTTAAAATCCACTCAAACCCAAGTTCTGAATCCCATTCCGGAAAAACCTTATTTGGGATGTCATAATTCTAAACTTTGGCCAAATTCAGCCCAAATTCCCGAATCTAAATCTCAATTCGTGGCCCTGGTAGGCAGTAACCAGAATCTAGACGCGGATCAGATGATCGGGTAATGACGTAATGGCCACTGCTGAGAAGGTTCTGTGTCAAAATCCCGAAACTTCGTGAGGTGTCGGACTTCCAATATTCAAATTCCGACCTTTTAATTAGTAAGCATGCTTACTAATTAAAAAATCGGAATTTGAATATTGGAAGTCCGACCCCTCACGAAGTTTCGGGATTTTGACACAGAAACGCTGAGAAGTAGCCAGATTCGCGTTTAATTCTTGGTTTACTGTTCCTTGATAAAGTTACTAGATTTCTATCAATATGTTACATCAACTTTGCAGTGAAATAAATGTCATCTATCTAATATTATATAACTGCGTTTTTTAACATATCAGATTATATCATGAAAAGAACATCAAAGCATCCATATTATTCCCCGGTTCTTATTTATACTTCTATACTATTTTTCTCGTTTATTGTCCTGTTCTCAGATTCAGGCTCATCCGGAATTTTATATTTCTTTTTGATTATATATCTTTTTTTACCCTTTTTAATGTTGCCCCGAATTTTTTAAACTATTCGAGTTGCTAACGAAAAGTAACAATTGTTGTCCAAAGAATAATAAAAGAAAATGGAGTAAATGAAAGAAGTTTTGTGGTTGTAGTAAAGCTAAACTTTAACATACGAAGCTTTAATTTGAAAAAATAGTATAGAAGTATAATAAGT